CCCCACACAGGCTCCCCAGAAACCCTGCACCCCATATCGGACAGTACCTCGTGCAGGCTCAGGGAAATAGCCGAAGCCATTTTGCCTCCGTAGGACTCGGAGAAGATGTAGAAGGGGACACTCTGCAAGAGAAGGAGAATGAGAGAGAGGAGAAGACTTTCAGCACAAGACTCCGAACGTGACGTTTCAAACTGCCCCAGGGCCTGAGCGAGGGGCTGAGAGAGGTAAGCATCTTCCACTTCATATGATAACAATAGCACTCTACACTGTATATTGCATTAGATAGTTTTCAGGCCTGAAAGAAGCACCTGTGTGACCTGGAATCTCTACTCGTAGCTTTAACTGTAGTTTGATAAATCCTGCAACATGCGCAGACCACCTCCAACGAGGCAGATGCACTGATTTATGGCTGGCGTCTCCCAGGTGAGGGGCACCTGTGTTCTCACCTGGAACTCTGGCTGGGCCTTGAAGAAGGCGGTCAGCAGGACCATCATGTCGGAGGCCACGGTGGCCACGTCCCTGGCCAGGGCGCCCTCGCTGTCCGTGTAGCTGTAGCCCGTGCCCACGGGGTTATCCACAAACAGCACGCTGGCTGCCTGGACCTGCACACAGACACAGACACCGGGGGGCGCTATGTTATCCACCTCGGGCCCGCAGTCAGTCGGGGGGGGGCTCTGTGTCAACTCAGCTCCCGGGAGCCATTTGAACTAGGAGCTCAAACTCATCTCCCTACTCCAGCGCTCAGAAGAACGTTTCTAATCACAGGACGCCCTTGACGTTTTAAAGCAGGCAGGCCAGGCCGCAACAGGGAAAAGTGCACCGCGGAGCGATGGACTTTGGTGCGGGTTCAGATGAGACCCTGGAAACGATGACAGTGCGCAGCAGGGGGCGCTAGTGAAGTGAAGTGAGCACGGATCCGCGCGCAGGCGTGCGCCAGACTGGTCTTTACCCAGGTGGTGTTCCTCGGCCGCAGGTCCCTGTCCAGAGGCCCGATCTCTTCGAAGTTCCCGAACCCGCAGCCAGATCCCCCGGGGCCGCCCTGTGGGGCAACAAGACCGCGAGAGCAGTAGAGCAGATGCCGCTAATGAGCCTGGCACACGGGGCGTACAGGAGCCCGTGCTCTGAGGGGACCCCAGTACCTTCACGCAGGGGTGTCTCTGGGGGTGGAGGCTCTGCTCACCTGCAGCCACATGACCAGAGGCAGCTGTGTGAAGTTCTTGGAGGGGTTGTTGGAGTAGTACAGCCACCAAAACATGTGCGCCCTGTCTCGCACGTCCACGTACCCCCAGCTCTCCCGACCCCCGCCCGGGGCCGGCGCCGCCCAGCCTGCGAGACAGGAAGAGTCCGACCGGTACCTTCAGTACCGCGCTGGATGGGGCCCACCGGCCCTCTGTTCAGAGTCGGGCCCCTGTGTGGTCTCAATCTCCACATCACTCATTTCGGTGCCGAGACCAGAAAGAGCTCACTGGCTAAACACACCTGTAACCTTGGAGGACTGCTGAAGATACTGCAGAGGAGGACAGGGTCTCATCTCAGGCTACAAAGACAAGCTCTTTATGCAAATGATCATGCAAATCACTGAAAGAGCGACAGCGGACTCTTGGACCTCAGGCCGCGGCCGTGGGATATTTACCTATACAGTTCGGTCTCTAGATGTGTTTACACTCGACTCCAGGGCTCAGTTCCAATGGCGCGGCTTCCTGATCAGACAGTTTGAGCTCAAGTTTCAGGTAAGAGTTTCTTCCTCTCTCGGAGAGCCAAAGCAAACAAAGGATTTTCCTGACCTGGGCTACCTTTGAGCACCAGAACTGTCTCTAAGCTGCGGGAAAGCCTTTATTTCCCTGCGATCTGAACCGAGCTAGTGCGCTCACGCTGCGGGGCAGAACCCGGGCTCACGCGAACCGTCAGCTGATCGCTCTTCTGCGGCACCGATCACCCATCAAAAAGGAGCCCAGAACGATCAGCTTCCCCGCCCGTCTGCGTTTTTCTCTTCAAACTCGTGTTCAAAACTATAAAGAGATCCATTTTTAAGTTTCCCCGTTAACCCCCCCCCCCCACAAAAGATCCGGCGTCAAAATAAAAACCGAAAGTAACACCGTGCAACAGCTCGACTCAGGGAATAAATCTAGAATAACAATAAAAACCGACAATAAGTGTGTTCGTATTAACGCTCAGACCTGCAAGAACAGCGAAGCACAGGAGCAGAGCACTCTTCAGGACCTCCATCCTCGCACAGTCATATGACTTTCCCCGTCAGCTGATTCCTGGCGCCTCGTCTGACCAGACACCGCAGAGATCGCGGGGGCGCTAGATGGGCTCTGCTGGAATCTCCGCCATGACGCGCTGCGCCATCTTGGGAGGGGAGAACGGGAGGAATCCGGCAGCTCGAGGAAAAGCTCACAGCGGCTCTTTGGACCCCCTCCTTGTCGTCATGGGGTACAGCACCTCACTCGAGGTACAACAGCAGCGTCTGCAGCGGGGACTCGAACCCACAGCCTGTCAGTCTATAGACACTACTTCAGGGATATTTATTTCAAGGGCAGTGTGCAAGAGGATGGAACAACTTTCAAATTCTCCTGCCTCTGGTTTCCAGCACTAGGTGTGACAGTAGCGCGGGTGCAGACTACTCTATATGTAGACCGCAGCGGGCAGCTTAGCAATGCTCACGGCACACAGGTAAAAATAAACCCTAAAGTACCCGCCTGCTATATCGCAGGGGCTGTGCTGCAGTCACGTGTTATCACCTCGTACTCTATCAGGTATTACAAGCAAAATGATTAAGATAATAAAATTA